ACGTTCCCCCGCCCCGCCTTTTCCGAGCCACACACCTTGTGCGACTCAACACGTGTCCCCACCCCACCCACCCCCCCCCCTCCACACTATCACACCCCAACCACCTGCAGCCATGGAAGTAGCACTTGCTCGAGAGGGCGAAGAGTATATGGTACTCAAGGTGCGGCATGAGAAAGAGTGTCGAGCACTTGCCATTAGCAGCAGAGGGATAGGCGTGCAAGAGCTGGTGGCCGTTCTCGAGGAGATGTTCCCCTCAACGGTCAAGGACGGCAAGTCATCATCACCATCATCATCATCATCATCACCATCACCATCACCATCATCATCATCACCTTCATCATCATTATTGCCATCGTCGTTGTCAGGCTCATGGCTGGGTGTGGTGGATGGCGATCAAGTGGAAATCGATGAGGAGAGTTGGGAGTGTATCATGGCTCTGGCAGAGCCCTTGCAAACCATCGTCATCGAGTATCATCGTCCCAATCCGCCCGTTGTCCCGCCGCCTGCTCTCCCGCCAAATGCTGCTGCCGCTGCTGGTGGCCTTACTGGGCATGCGGCTGGCCCTGCTGCTTCCTTCTTCCGTCATCAGCATCATCATCAACATCATCAGCAGCAGCAGCACGGCACTCGCCACCATCAGCAACATCAAAGCGTCCGCCACTATCAGCAACATCCGTCGCATGCTGGCTCCGCGCACTTTGGCTCGGTCGCCCACTCGCAGCCGGTCGCAAGCTTTGGTGGAGGCTACGGGCATGGATCGGTGACTGCAGGAGGTGGCCATGCACAACAAGCTGGCGGCTTCGGCCAGCCAACGCACCCGCATGTCGGGGCAGGGCATGGGCACGCGTCGGTTGCTGCTTATCCGGCGAGTGGCGCCGCCATGGGCACCTCGCGCGGCCATCCGCATCAAAGCTCGGCCCAGAGCAAGACGACCAAGCGGCTCTCGTATCCGTTGCAAGGATCAGTGCCGGCTGTGTCCATGCCGCTCTCGCCGGAGACCTGGCATGCGTCGTCGGGTCCGGTGTGGCCATCGGTTGGTGCGCCCTCGGTCCCGCCGCAGCCGTCCGGCAGCGACATCTCGTCGGCCACGCCCTCACACCCACTCGCCGGCTACCCGTGGTTCCATCCGTCGATCACCTCGCGCGCCGCCACCGAAGCCGCCCTCCTCCGCCACCCCGTTGGCACCTTCCTTGTCCGTGAGTCGTCGTCGGAGCCGGGCTCGTACGTCGTCGGCGTTGTAACGGCCCGGGGTGTTGTCCAGTACAAGCTTTCGTACGACCCAAGATCTGGCCACTTTGTCCAGGAAGGCATCCCCGGCTCCTTCCCATCCATCCCAGATCTCATCAACGCCTACAAGGAGAGCCTCTGCATCCCGTACTGCCCGTGATGCACTGCCCTCGACCTTTTGTCCGCCGCATTGCAGGGCATCTACACTTCCTGCTGCTCATCGCACCCGAGGCTCCATCTCTCCCATCTAAAAAGAAAAGTGCCATCCTCAGCAGTTCCCATCACCATCCCCATCGCCGACAATCAGGTCATGACGCGCCAGCCAAAGTGCCAAAGCGAGGCCATCCCACCACCCCTCCCCCCCCCCTCCCCTACCGCCACCTCTAACACACGGTAGACGTCAGACACTCGAGTCTAATTCAGCCATGCTGGGGAGAGTGTGGACAACACTACACCAGCCGACGTGCGAGGCTGTAGCTGTTGCTCTGTCCACAAGAGCAGCTTGGACGTGGGCATGTCACTCGAGCAGCTATCGGCCAAGTAGTCGGCGAGTCGGACTTGGTGCACAAACGGCAGGGCCACTCGCGGCGGCCTTGGTGGCAGCACGGACGGCTGACTCGGGATGGGGGTCCTGCGGGAGAGCCACTGGTTTGCGATTTGCGGCATCGCATGCATTTTCGGATTCACTCAATTTGCCGGTCACTGATTTCCCCATGCGGGCCGATGCGGCGGTGCGCGAGAAGGAGAAGATGGAGACCACAACGACACAGCTGTACCAGTGGAGTCATGATCAGCGGACTGCTGGTGCCCGCCCGCCGTTTGTCCTTCACGATGGCCCGCCCTTTGCCAACGGCCGCCTTCACATGGGCCACGCCCTCAACAAGATCCTCAAGGACGTCATCAATCGCCATGCCCTCCTCTCGGGCTCCGCCGTCCACTACGTCCCGGGCTGGGACACTCACGGCTTGCCCATCGAGCTGAAGGCGCTTGATGCTGCCCGCAAGGACTCGGCCAAGGCCATCAAGAAGATCAAGAAGGAGCTCAAGCGCGCCATCAAGGCGGAGGCTGGCGACGAGGTCGCTCGGCTGGAAGCCCAGCTTGCCGCCGCCCAAAGCGCCGCCGCCGGCCGCGAGCCAACCAAGATCCGCAAGCTCGCCGCAGAGTTTGCTGCCTCGGCCGCCACCGAGCAAAAGGACGCCCTGCTCCGCTGGGGTGTGATGGGCGATTATGACAACGCGTACTACACCATGGCGCCGGCCTACGAGGCTGCCCAGCTCGAGCTGTGGTCCTCGCTCTACCATCGCGGCCTGTTCTCGCGGCGGCTCAAGCCGGTCTACTGGTCGCCGTCGACCCAGACAGCGCTCGCCGAGGCCGAGCTCGAGTACAAGCCGCACACTTCGACTGCCGTCCACGTCGCCTTTCGCGCCCGCGCGTCCGATCAGCTCCTCGCTGCGCTTGGCGTCGATCTTGCGCCGCGCCCCATCGACGCCGTCGCGTGGACCACCACCCCGTGGACCCTCGTCGCCAACCAGGGCCTCGCCTTTGGCCCTGCCCTTGATTACGCGCTTGTCGAGAGCGGCGCCGCCGCCGATGCGCCGCTCGTCCTGGTTGCCTCTGCACGTATCGGCGCTCTCGTCGACGCTGGCGTCCTGCCTTCGTCCCCGCGGGTGGTGGCGGATGGCCTCTCAGCCGAGGCTATAGCCGGCACCGTCTTTAGCAACCCGGTGGTGGCTGAGCGCGACTCGGTGGCGCTGATGGGTGACCACGTGACTGATGATGCCGGCACCGGTGTTGTCCACACCGCGCCGGGCCACGGCGCCGAGGACTACACCGCCATGGCGCGGGCCGGCCTGCTCAACACCGACGATCCGCTCTTCTGTCCCGTCGACGGCGCCGGCAAGTACACAGATGCGCTGGCGAGCGTCGGCCTTGGTCAGCTGGTGGGCCAGCCGGTCCTCGACGCCGGGACCAAGTCTGTGGTGGAACTGCTGCATGCAGCGGAGAACGCGCCGCTACTGGCAGCGGCACCGCTAGAGCACTCGTATCCGTACGACTGGCGAACGGCCAAGCCGATCATCTTCCGTGCCACCATGCAGTGGTTCATGGACCTGAGCGCAGTCAAGGGCGCGGCACTCAATGCGCTCGACGACGTGACAATGGTGCCGCCCGAGGGCGCAGCGCGGCTGGCCGGCATGATTGGGACCCGCGACGAGTGGTGCATCTCGCGGCAGCGGGTTTGGGGCGTGCCCATCCCGGTCTTCTACCACAGGGAGACCGGCGAGGTGTTGGCCACCCGCGAGAGCCTCAGCCACGTGGTCGAGCTTGTCGCCCGCCACGGCACCAACGCCTGGTTTGATCGCCCCGTCTCGGAGCTCCTCCCGGCGAGCCTGGCAGACGAGGCGCACAAGTATGTCAAGTCAGTCGACACCATGGACGTCTGGTTCGACTCGGGCTCGTCGTGGTACGCCGTCCTTGCCAAGAGCCTCGGCTCGCCGGTCCAGGCCGACGTCTACCTCGAGGGATCGGACCAGCATCGTGGCTGGTTCCAGTCCTCGCTCATCACCTCGAGCGCCCTGCAGGACCCGCCGCGAGCCCCGTACAAGACCCTCATCACCAACGGCTTTGTCCTCGACGGCGCCGGCAACAAGATGGCCAAGTCGCTGGGCAACGTCGTGGATCCGGACCAGGTTGTCCACGGCGGCGCTAACGCCAAGAAGGAGCCGCCCTACGGCGCAGATGTCCTCCGCCTTTGGGTCGCTGCCCAGGAGTACACCCGCGATGTCCGGCTCGGCCCACAGGGCCTCTCCTCCGCCGCCGACACGTACCGAAAGCTGCGCAACACAGCCAAGTTTGTGCTCGGCAACATTGCCGACGCGCCCGCAGAGCTGCTGATGGCGGCGGGTGCACCGGCGGCGGCATCGCCGCTCGATCGTCTTGTCCTATCCTCGCTTCACGAGCTCAACACCAAGGTCCAGGCTGCGTACTCGTCGTACGCCTTCCACGCCGGCCTCTTTGCCCTCCTCAACTACGTCAACACCTTCCTCTCGGCGTTTTACCTCGACTCGGCCAAGGACACGCTCTACGCCGAGGCCGCCGATGATTCGGCCCGACGCGCCGTCCAGTACGTCCTCTACCGAGCGCTCGACGTGGTGACCCGTGCGGCAGCACCCATCGCCCCGTTCCTCGCCGAGGAGGTGTGGGGCCACATGCCGCTCGACACCCGGCGTGACGACCACTTTTCGCTCTTCCAGTCGGGCTACGCAGAGACTGGCCCGCTGCGCGATCCGGCGAGCGACGCGCTCCGCGACGCGCTCCTCGACCTCCGCGGCGAGGCCAACAAGGCGCTCGAGGGCCTGCGGCAGGCCAAGGCCATCGGCGGCTCCCTGGAGGCTCAGGTCGTGGTGGCTGCTGATGTGTTGCCGGAGTCCCTCGCGGCATGGCTCGCCACCCTCTCGCCCGGCGATCTCGCCAACGTCTTTGGCGTCTCTTCTGCGCAGCTTGAGTCGTCGGCGGCCACCGGCGGAGCAACCGTGTTGGCGGCGCCGGCGAGCGGCAGCAAGTGCGATCGGTGCTGGAAGGTAACGCCCGACGTGAGCGGCGGAGGCCTGTGCGGCCGATGCGCTGCGGTGGTGGGCGGAGAAGCGGCGATGTGAAAAAGAGAGTAAAGTCAGTTGCGCAAGCCGCGTGGTTCATTGCAGTGAGACGCCGTCGGCGAGGCGGGTGACGAGCAGCTCGATGTTGGTCCGGATGCCGTCGAGCGAGGTGAGCGGGGCGAGCGAGATGGTTCCCTGCTGGGCCTGCGCGAGCGATGAGGCGAGCGAGGTCGAGACAAAGTGGCGGAGGCCGGCGTCGAGCATCTCCTCCCACTCGATGTTGGACTCGAGGGCGGCGACGCCCTCGGTGGGCGGCGGGACGAGGAGCGAGACAAGGCGCTGGTGCTGGTCGGCCGGGAGGGAGCACGAGTAGCGGAGGAGGAGGATGAGGAGGCGCATGAGGGCGGCGACTGAGGCGGTGGCCAGCCGGAGCGCCCGGGCAAGGTTCTCGACCTGGCTCCCAGTCTCAAGAACCTGCTGGTAGGCAGCGTCAAAGAGAGTGTCGAGCGAGTTGAGCGGCTCCGGGTTGCGGGCAGTGAATCTTGTGAGGAGTCGCTTCTGGATGCCACGGAGCTGCTCCGACTGGGAGGCGAGCGAGGCGCGGAGGTCCTGCAGGGCCTTGCGGGTGGCAAAGCGGGTGTCGAGGGCCTTGAACAGCGGCGCAAGCGGCATCTTGCCCCTGTAGACCAACTGCGGTGGGGCGGGTCCACCAAGCGCAGTGTGCAGGGCGTCCGGCAGCGATTCGAGAACCAGGCCCAGCAGCGGAGGTTGTTGGCCACAAGCCGGTACTTGCCCTCCTTGTTGGAGACCAAGATGGTGACAAACGACTCGTCGGCCGAGAGCGTCGACGCCGACGAGGCCCACAGCTGAAAGGTGAGAACACCGGCGGCTGGAGAGCCGTACTCGGGCATCTCCAGCTCGGCGAGCTCATAGAGGAGCGGGTAGAGGCGGCCGACGTCGAGCGGGTCGGCGTCGGGCGTTGCGAGCGTGTACTTGTGCAGCGAGGCCTGGATGGGCGCGACAGCGCGGCCCAGGAGCGCCAACGGGAGCGCAAACGAGCTGACCGCCGACCGCGGCTCGGCCCGCTTGCCGACCACATACGAGATGGCGACCTGGACCCGCATGGACGACGGCAGCAGGCCGTGGTCGGCCTCCACCACCAGCGAGTAGGTGTAGGTCTCGCCCGGCGCGAGGACCGGAAGCGAAAACGCGGTGTGCGAGGCGCGGAACGGCGGCGGATACGTGAGCCGCACGTCGATGTCGCGGGCCTTTTTGCGGGCGTTGCGCGGCGTCAGCGTGAGCTCAACAACGGCCGACGACGAGCCCTCAGCCGACGCCGACGCGGGAAGGAGCTTGAAGGCTGCAGAGACAGCGATGGTGGGGAGCGCGGCCGTCGCCACCGGCTCGCTCCCGGTCGAGACACCGTCGGTGGCCGGCGCCGACGCCGCCAGTGCCACCGAGGCTTTGGAGACGGTCGCGTTGAGCTTGCGCATCTCCCGCTCCATGGCGGCAAAGTCGGCGTCCTTGGGCAGCGACGCGCCTGGAATGACCGAGAGCGACGGGTCGGTGCCAAGGTACGAGAGAGTGAGCGCACCGTCGGCGGAGAGGGTGACAATAAGCCCGCGGAGGCCGCCAAAGGTGCCGACCGCCAGAGCCACCGCAGGCTCGAGCACCTTGGTCGCCCACACCACCGACTCGCCCGAGAGCACAGTAAGCATGCCTGAAGCCGACGCAAGGAGCAGGTTGTGCTTCTCCGGACCAACTGGGTACGGATACATGCACAGCGGCTGGAGCGGGAGCCGCCGCTCCGATCGCAACTCGCCGCGCTCCGAGACACAGAACAGCGAGCTGACGCCGAGGACCAGCACATCTGACTGGGCCGCAGAGAGCGAGGGTGAAAAGCGAGCGAGTGCCAGCTGTACCGCAGGCTGGCCAAGGTTAAGGGTCCATGACGGGACGAGCCGCTTGCCGCGGGCGGCGTCGAGGTCGTCGCCGTCGTCGCCGCCACTGGCGCCATCACCGCCGCCGCCGGCGCTGGTGCCGTCGTCGCCGGCAGGCTTGCTCCCGGGCTGCTGCGAGGCTGACTTTGTGGCCAGTGAGGCGTAGGTGTAGGCTTCAAGCGAGAACTCGGACGTGCCGACAACAAGCGTGTCTGTCAGCGAGATGTACAACAGCGGGCCTGGGAGGAGGAAGCGCGGGAGAAAGGCGGCAAAGGCAAAGGCGTCCTGATCAAAGAACGCCAGCTGGCCATCGAGGGTGAGGACCACAATCGAATCCTTACCGCGAGCGCCACCAAACGGACCGTAGGTCATGGCAGCAGCAGGACGACCCAGATCATGGGCGTAGACCTCGTCCAGAGAGTAGTAGGCATCGAGGTCTGATGATCCGTGACGAGAGAGAGCGTAGATGACGAGCGACTTTGGATGAAGAACAGCAAGCACGAGAGCATGTGAGCCTCTCACAAACCTCCCAGCCTCGATAGCCAGCACCGGAGCGTGCAGGGCCTTCTCCAGCAGCAGATGTCCCGACGAGTACTCGCGCGACTTTGGCCCATACACCCGTAGCATGCCACTCAGTGATCCGGTGACCACTTTGAGCGGAAAAGTCCCCATGCCACCACTGACCGAGCCCGTTCCAGCACCACCAGCACCACCTCCTCCTCCTCCTCCTCCTCCGCCAGTGACTCCTCCGCCTCCTCTGCCACCTTCGCCTGTGCTTTGCGGGTAGCCCTGTCCACCCTGGCCCTCGTTGAGTGCTGCCACGCAGAGGGCGTCAAAGCTGAACTCTTCCCCCTCGTGGGACGCCTGCTCCACACGCCACCACTCACGGGCTTGGAAGAGCGACATGGGAGTGGGGGTGGGGGTGGGGGGGTGGGGGGTGAGGTGCTTGGTGGTGGTGATCGTTGGGGGAATGGTGGCATTAATCGTTGGGGGAATGGTGGTATTAATCGTTGGGGGAATGGTGGCATTAATCGTTGGGGGAATGGTGGCATTAATCGTTGGGGGAATGGTGGCATTAATCGTTGGGGGAATGGTGGCATTAATCGTTGGGGGAATGGTGGCATTAATCGTTGGGGGAATGGTGGCATTAATCGTTGGGGGAATGGTGGCATTAATCGTTGGGGGAATGGTGGCATTAATCGTTGGGGGAATGGTGGCATTAATCGTTGGGGGAATGGTGGCATTAATCGTTAGGGGAATGGTGGCATTAATCGTTGGGGGAATGGTGGCATTAATCGTTGGGGGAATGGTGGCATTAATCGTTGGGGGAATGGTGGCATTAATCGTTGGGGGAATGGTGGCATTAATCGTTGGGGGAATGGTGGCATTAATCGTTGGGGGAATGGTGGCATTAATCGTTGGGGGAATGGTGGCATTAATCGTTGGGGGAATGGTCGTGCTGATCGTTGGCGGAAAACGGTGCATAAAACGACAGATGAAGAGATAGTGGATGGACAGATATAATGGGTGAGTGTAAGAGTGGTCGATAGTATCATTTAGAGCCAGCCATCCTCAAATCACAGACCCATCAGCTGATGGAGATCGGCAAAGCCGCTGGCGACTAATGCCATGATCCACTCGATCTCTTTTCTGCGCCCCGGACCCAAGATAAAATCGCCCCCCCACACGCAGCCGACACCTCGTTTCCGTCATCTCGTCCCCGCATCGCTTCTCATACTCGTCAAACATCCCATCTTTGTGGCTGATGTTCTCATCGCCCCACTTCTTCTCCCTACAGCGTCCCGAGACCAGCAGTCTGCGAGAAGGCAGGATCGCCTCTCATCTCACGCGACAGCTGCCAGTTGAGTAGGGAGGCCGAGAGGGGGCAACTCTCTCTGGCTAGACAAGCGATTAACGACGAGTGAGAGGACGAGGTGATGAGTGGTGGCTTGCGGAAGCTGCTTGGTAGGCGGTTCACGTCGTCGCTGCGTATCGGACTCGTTGGCCTGCCAAACGTGGGCAAGTCCGCTCTCTACAATCTGGTGACAGCCGAAGGCGCCGGAGTTGCCTCGGAGAACTATCCCTTCTGCACCATCGATCCGTCGACGGCAGCGGCAGTTGTGGGCGATGAGGTGCTGGATGGCTTGCAGACGGTGGCGCCTGGGGCAAAGATGGTGCCTGCTCTGCTGAATGTTACCGATATCGCCGGTCTGGTTGCCGGCGCTGCCGAGGGTGAGGGCCTCGGCAACAAGTTCCTGGCCGAGATTCGCGAGGCCGACGCCATCGCCCACATCGTGCGCTGCTTTGACGATGGCAGGACGACGCATGTGGTCTCGGGCCTGGATCGTCCGTCGCCGGCCGACGATGTGGCCACCATCGAGACCGAGCTCGCGCTGGCCGACGTGGAGACGACCGGGCGGGCGCTGGCGAGGGCCAAGGGCAAGGGCGCGCTGGCGACCGGCGCGCGGGCGGTCGTCGGCGCTGTCCACGATCACTTGCAGGGCGGAGGCGGAATGGTAGCTAGCATGGGCGAGGGCCTCCGCAATCTGCTAGATGAGCACCCCGAGGGCGCGCAGGCGCTGCGGGCGCTGCAGCTGCTCACCGCGAAACCGGTTGTCTACGTCGCCAACGTCGGCGATGACTGGCTCACCGACGGCTCAGGCTCGGGCGCCATGCTTGCTGAACTGACGGCGGCAGTCGGTGGCGATAGCGCGGTGGTGCCAGTCCCGGTTGCTCTCGAGGCCGAGCTCGCCGATCTCGACGCGGCTGACGCGGACGAATACCTCGTCGAGCTCGGGCTGCCGGCGAGCGCGGCAAGTGCCGGCTCGCAGAAGCTCATCCACACCGCGTACAGTGACTGTCTCGATCTTGGCTCGTTTTACACCTGTGGCGAGACCGAGGTCCGTGCGTGGACGATCCAGAAGGGCATGACGGCGCGCGAGGCGGCCAAGGTCATCCACGCCGACTTTTACGATGCTTTTGTCAAGATGGAAGCCGTCTCGGCGACAGCGCTGATTGAGTCCGGCGGGTGGAGCGCGGCACGCGGGCGCGGGCTGGTGCGGATCGAGGGCAAGGAGTATGTCATGGGCGATGACGACGTCGTCGTCTTTCACCACACCCGCAAGTGAGCCGAGCTCAACGCGAAGCGATCTTGGCCTCGGCCGCGGCGAGCAGGCTGTCGAGGCGATCCTTGACCCCGCCAGCCTCGTAGTACTCGTGATCAAGGATGCGGAACCAGGCTGTGTCGCGCGAGCGGTCCTTGATGATAAAGTGGCAGTCCTGAACGCCTTCAGCAACAAAGCCGAGGCGACAGGCGGCGCGCTGTGAGCGGCGGTTGCGGGCATCGCACTTCCACTCGAAGCGGCGAAAGTGCCAAACCTCAAAGACAAGGTCCGCGAGGAGAACCATGAGCTCGGTGTTGACGATGCTCTTCTGCGCCAGTGGCGAGAGCCACAGCGAACCGATCTCGACCTTGAGATGGTCGGGCGCGCAGTTCATGAGGTTGACAATGCCAAGCGGCTCGCTCGAGGTCTTGTCCACCACGGCCCACGGCGTCCCGTTGGGCGCATCGACCTGTCGCTGCAGGTATCTGCCAAGATCGTCGGCACTCTCAAACGGCCCGCCAAACATGTACCGCCATACCACGGCCTCGGCATCGTACTCGGACACCGATCGCAGTTCTCCGGCGACCGAGCCGGTGCAGGCAGCGCCCGATGAGCGGAGATGGAGCAGATCAAGATGATGATCCGGCGAGTACGGGACAAGCTCTATGTGCTTGCCCGACAGAACAACAGCGTCAGGCTTGACTGCCCTTCGTCGAGCAGCCAGCACCTCGTCTGGGAGGCAGGCAGGCGGAGGCAGGTTGGCCTCTGGCCCGCTCGGCACCGATGACGACGACGGCGATGACGACAACAATGACGATGACGATGATGCCAAGAGTGCCCGTGCTCCGAGGAGAGCAGCCACAGCGCCAAGAGTGGCAGCCGAACCGAGTGCAAGGCCAGAGACAAACGGCGAGTTGTTCATGATGGAAAAGAGGGTGAGGTGAGGGCATGAGCACAGGTAGGGGGTCCGGGTCGGTCACGAGGTGATTGGCAGGTTGGGCACGGACCCGGCACAGCTCGCTGGCCAAGCCACGCCCAGCCCAGGGACACACATAGTGGTATTGCTCCATCACGAGCACTCCCATCGAGGGAGCTGTCGCATCAGATCGGATGCGTACTCACCCGACTCATCGTCCTTGTGGGGCTCATCTCGCCGTGCATGTCGGCCCCAGGCAACACATCGATCAACGGCACTCCCACCGCAATACCATACATAATGCCTCTCTTCCATGAGCAGCGCTTCCCATCAAGGGACTTTGTCGCATCAGATTGGATGCGTACTCACCCGACTCATCGTCCTGGCATTGCTGTGGAAGGATCGAACGAACGAACGAACGGAGGGACGGAACCAAAGGACGGACCGAGGGGAGCGAGGGACGGACTGAGGGACAGCGAGAGTCAACTCGGCACGAATCGCCACAACCACTGATTACACATCGTTATCTCTCTCTCCCTTTCTCTCTCTTTCTCTTTCTCTCTCTCTCTCTTGCACGGATTGATTGAGTGAGTGAGTGAGACACAAACAAGGCTACCACATCATGCGGTTCTTTACGCAGATACCGACGGGCCACTCTGATGTCATCCATGATACCGCCTTTGACTTCCATGGCAAGCGACTGGCTACCTGCTCCTCCGACCAGGTCGTCGAGGTGTGGGACCAGTCAGAGGGCGGGGAGTGGTCACTGACTGGAAGGTGGAAGGTAAGGATGGAGGGGGGTGGGGGG